AAGTAAATGATATTATAATAAGAAATTTTAAGAGATTGAAGTTTATATATATATATATATATATATATATATATTAAAAAACTGGAACTTTTTAAAAATAAATTATTTTAATTTTTAATTTTTTTTTAAAAATTCTAAACTATCAAATTATGACACGTGGGAAAATTAACATCGTTGATGATCGGAACACTTAAATGGATAATATTTGTAATGTTATGCACCAGGATGAGTCAAAAAATAATTCAAACATTTATTTGATAATTTAGGTATTTTAACACTTAATTTAGTATTAAGCCTAAAATGATTTAGGTCTAATGTCAATAATGAATTACAAGGTGAAATATATGTGATAGTTAATGATTGTGCAAAGACCTCTGGTGGGAGAGCAGATATGCAGCAGGGAATCATGTCTGGCATATCTCTTGAATGTCGGTATGCCAATTAAAATACAAAAGAGAAGAAACCACACAGACCATTTTCAAAAACGTGTACTTATTTTTCCCTGACATTATTGTTTCTGATAAGATAACGTATAACTGCTTGCAGATACGCATTCATGCATTTCCATCCGTGAATAAGGGCTAATCAGACGATTTATCTGAATCGGAAGTTGAGAACCATGCACCATTTAGTTGACTTAAAAAGATCTCCATCGCTGTTTATAATTATTAAGTGTTACTCAGAGATTCTTAAGCTCCATATAATCCCTCTTGTACTGCGTGAAACATTATAGCTTAAATCTTCTTTAGTTGACTTCACATTACGGCTTAAATCTTAGTTATTTGCCTTGTTATTTACTTAAGCGGATTTACTTTTAACTATAACTAATATTTATTCGCGGATCCAGCTCACACTGTCACTCGTGCGTGCGCCTGAATTAGTGGTCCTCCCTTTATATATCCATAGAATTTTCAATTTACCTGTCAATTCACACAACCCCGTGTGAGACCCAAATTACAAACCACATGAAATAGACCCAAAAAAAATGGTTGGCGTTTTCAGGCGCTCGTTCTCTTTCCCAAACAAACCCCCTAATCGTCCATCTAAACCATCGGTCTCTCAACACTTGAGATCCATCTCTCCTCCATGCAGATCACACCCTTTGATTTCCCAACTCAAAGAGGAAATCCCGATAACCGAACCTCAGCTTGGCTTTGTGATGGTTTGAGCCGCCTAAAGGTCGCTCAGGATTCGCTCCACGATATCCTTCAGCTCCCACAGACCCAGGAGTTGTTAAGCCATAAGCGTGAATGGGTGGAGAAACTCCTCGAAGATTTCCTACGTTTTGTCGATGTTTATGGGATCTTCCAAACATCATTTCTCTCGCTCAAAGAAGAGCAACTAGCGGCGAAAGTGGCTCTAAGGAGAAAAGGCGGCTCGAGGATCGCTATCTGTTTGAAAAGTCGCAAGAAGTTGGCTAAAGAGATAGCTAAGCTCGTGTTCTCTATCCGATGCATCGGACGATACTCATTCCCTGCATCAGCTAAAGTGTCTATTGCGGATACTGAGCTGATCGGTGTTATCAACGATGTTATCCAAGTAACGGTTTCGGTTTCCGTGGGACTTTTCAATGGGATTTCAATGGCGTTTGCTTCTAAAAAATCGTCTTGGATCAAGTTGGCGCTGTCTAAGAAAGCCAACAAGGTTGAGGTTGAGGGAAGTATCAAAGAATTCGAACAAATCGGTGAAGCAAACGTGTGGAGTTTGACAAGGAAGGGAGACGATGAACAAGTGAAGATGGTATTGAAGAGAATGCAAGACTTGGAGAGAAGCATTGCTGATATCGAAAGTGATAGCGACAAAGCTTTTAGGAGTCTGATAAAAGCTAGGTTTTTGCTGCTAAATATTCTCACCAAGTAGACGTGTAATTTATCTTTTCATTCGTGTAAACCTGTCATGTTTTTTCCTCCAAATTTTAGATTAATGGTGTACATTCCTCATATTTTGTAAATTTTTGTTAGTATTTGTTTCGGCATCGTATAAAGAACTGTCTCATTATACAATTATAAAAAATACATTATTATTTAAGTTAAATAATTAATTATTAAAATTAATATATAATAATTAATATTTTGTCTTATCATTATTTATTATTCATTCCTTCATCATCCGTTTTGCTCAATATAATGCTGCATTGGAAATGAAATACGAGATGATAAATCTATACCATTGTGCAAATAATTGGAGCTGCTTTTGTTCCCTTCAACTTGCCTTGAGAAATTTTAGATTCTTCACCGCCACTGACAGTGGATTTCTGGTCAGAACTTAAGTTTCCCGGTAAAAGCAAAGTCTGAAGATCATACAAAAGACAAGACCTAATTGGACATCGGTGGCCCCTTAGTTTGTTGGTCTCGTAGATAATGCAAAAGATTTGACATTAATTCAGATATTCATGAACTGAAACATGTCTATTATATCCATTTCAATAATTGGAAATTTGATTTGTTTTCCATTACAAAAGCTGTTTACATGGTATCGAAAAGACATATACGATGTTTTGAGGGACCCATCATTTCATGTTTTGTAGGAATAAGGTTGTAATTGTAGTCATCATTGAAGAGGCGAGGGCGACAGTAATTTCTTGCTTAATAACTATATTTTTTTAAACTCAGAATACAAGTAAATAAATAAAATATTTCAATTTAAATATTTTAGTCATTCCACCCATTCAAGGGTATTTTAAACTTTTATTAAACAGTGACTAACATCTTACGTCATTTCGTAAAGTCTTATAGTTTTAGAGATCTTTTTAAATCATTATAAGATATTATTCACAATTAAAAATAATTCGATAATTTTTTCAATTCTTATTCGAATAATACAACATGCATACATACAAAACATCGAAAGCATCATATTAATGAAAAATATAAAACACTACTGAATCGAGAGATATTCACCTTAATTTCCTGAGTTCTAGTTTAACAACTTAAATTTTAAACTTCTAATTACTATGTTATATGCATGGAATGGGCAACTTTGGGTCCATAATAATTCTCTATTTTCTTTTATTTTTGTCCGAAGATTGCACCTCTTTTAATATTTATGTGATATTTTATATCATTTTATTATTTTGAGTGTGAATAATTGTTTTTACTTTTTAAATCATCCTAATATAAATTATTATCGTTATAAATTAGCTTAGGGCTATGAAATTTTGTTGCCGCCGTTTCGCTTTCACGTCTGTTGGATCAATATGGTATAACTTCCTTTCTCATGTTATATGACTTTTCGCATCAATACAAAATCTTTTTCATTGAAAAAAAGCTCACGTTACCTAAAAACCATATAAACTCCACTTAGTGACCAAAGAGGTGGACCTTCCTCACCCAATAAACCAAGCTTTGGGCTTCATTTTAGGCCTTTGGCTGAGGATGTAGGCCTGGTTTAATTTCAAGATCTTTTTTCTCAATAGCAATATTTTATACTTTATATTCTATATTTAAGATTATTTCTTTTAATAGAAATATTTTATGTTTAAATTTATTTTTTGAAAAAGAAATATAATATTTCTTACTACTGAATTCGACATTGATATTTTTGAAAAAGGGCAATAATACTGAATTTCCTTAAATGGGTTTAAAGCCGCTTAAGGCATGAAAGATTTCTAAGTTGAAACGAAGAAAAGTGAAAATAATTGAAGTGCTTTAATTCTTTTTAGGCCATATACATTATAAAAAGGGAAATTGAATTAAAAAGGAAAAGGACCACTAAATAATGCACCAAACATGGTACATAGTAAGCTCAAGTGGGACAGCCAGCTCCTCCCATGCCCATTGACATCGCTGCAAATTCAAAATAGTTTCCCTCTGATTGTGAGGCTCTAATCCCAGTGGCCCTTATTTCCATTTTCCAAGCTTCATGAATTAAGGAATATTACATTGCCGTATTTCCACTTTGAGTTTGCCTCGAACAGCATAATCATTCACTTTCATTTGTCGCTATAATTGCAATTTCCAATTATCCTAAATAATTTCTCGAATGAGACAATTTCTGATACCATTTAAGAGAAAAGGAGGAATTGCTGGGCAGTGACCCCTTACAGCAGTAAAGGTTAGGGGGTGTATTTTAAAACATGAAAAGACTAAAACATCATAGTTAGAGTTTATGAGGGACAAAAGCTATTTCCCTTCCCCAGACTTGAGCACTTAGGTTCTGAAAATGAATGGCACCTGCAATTGTTGCCTACTAATAGTCAGATGAGTGCAAGGATGAGGGGGAAGGGACCTTTTCTTGCCCTAATGTAGAGGTTAGACCTACATCTACAGTCAGGTGATAGCATGCAATGACACGTGAAAAGAACCTATCTTAAATAGCCTTTCATAGGAATTAGGGTCACGTAAAAAAGCTTGGGATGAAAATGAGGGCCATGCCCTCCACCCATTTCCCCACTTTCAAGAAAGATAGAAAAGAAAGAGATGGGTTAGTTAGGCAAGGGTTTTGTTAAGTTGTAGTTCCACATCCACTGGACTAAATCCCCATGATGGACATGGACTTGTTCCTTAGGTTGTGTTGTCAAAATCATCATCATAAAATGGACTTTTTCTATATGAGATTTAGATGATGCATTTGGTTTTATTTCTCTATGTATAATAATTGAACTAATTTCTTTAATTTTATACGATACATGGATCCAATTAAATCAAAAAACAAAAGTAAAAAGGTAACTATTCCTGACCAAGAATATACTAGTGTTACAATGGTAGAATATACGATATAACGAGGAGGGAAAAAGCAAGAAAGAGTAGTGAAAAACTGCAAATATTGAAAGCAGCAGGACCACTGGTGCAAGAATAGGAAAACATCAAAGATACGTTATGTTTATCCCGCCATTCTTTCCATTTGTATAAGACCCCACTCGACTGCATTTGTATAACCCCATTTTGTTTTTCTTCATTCTTCCTACCACACAGTAAAGATGCATCTTAAATGCTCCACAATATTGGAGAACAATTGGTAACGGCTGCCTCAGCCTCCTCCATTAATCTCCATTTTCATTTCTGCTTCCCAAGAGCCCTTGCCGTTACTTGAGAGAGAGAGACTTTATTAGGAAAAAGAAACTGAGACCTCCAAAATCTTCATCGTTCTTTTGGGTTCAAGTGATCGGTTTTAATGGGTTGCGTAACCTCGAAACTCGACCAGCTACCGGCGGTCTGTTTGTGCCGCGACCGCTGTAACTTCATCCAAGACGCTCTCCAGCAAAGCTACGCCCTTGCCGATGCACACATGGCATACATGCAGTCGCTCAAGACTCTGGGCCCAGCTCTCCACCATTTCTTCGATCAATGTCTCAAATCTTCGTCCGGCGATGACTCTACCGTCTCCATCGAGCAGCCGCCGAAGCTACGTTCGCCGCTGTCCTCACCTGACCATTCTTTTTCGAGTTCTAACTCAGATTCGCACATTCAATTCGATACTGATTCAGAAGAAGAAGAGTCGGGCGAAGATTTTAGTAAATATATTAACGAAATCCATATAAGTTATCTTAACCAGGGGTTCTTAACATTATATCCTTTGTCTAATCATGATTATCATGCTAATACGAACCAAAGCAGAGAAATCAGTGGCTCGGGCTGGAAAACACCTCCACCTCCGGCTCCGAGGAGCGCGGCTTGGGATTACTTGAACTTTTTTGATGAAATTTACGAGAGATACGAGTTGCCTTATTTTTCGAGCAAACCAGTGAAGGGAGAAGGAGCTGATGACCGTTTTGAAGCACAGGCATTAAAGCAAATTCACGGAGACGAGAAATCTACTACAGATTATACTGAAGAAAAAAGAGAAAATCCGAGCAGAGAAGCTGTTCCAGTAAAGAACGGTGATGCAGAGGTTGACAAGGTTCAAAACAAGGCTGCTACAGATGAACCCAGAAACCAAAGCGGTAAACAAAGTGTCTCTGAGGTAATCAAAGAATTACAGGCCCTGTTTGAGAAAGCTTCGGTGTCCGGAAATGAAGTTTTGGATATGCTTGACACTGGAAAATTTCGTTATCATCACAAAAAGTCTTTTTATCAAGGTATAGTTTCTAACATTCTCTGCCGGTTTGGCTACATAGTTTTTATGATTTCTTCAATTCAATGGTTCATTTAGGTCCTGCGAAGATATTTCATATGGTTACTTCAAATTCATCGGAAACAGAGTCCTCGCTGCCAAAAGAGAAGATTGATTCTATGGATAATGATGAGGTTTTTAGTTCACAGAATCTTTCATCTACTCTGAGGAAACTGTGTATGTGGGAGAAGAAGCTCCATGATGAAGTCAAGGTATGGTTAAAGAATCAAGATGCTTTTAAATTTTACTGTCTTTTCACCTTTTTCTTTTAGTTCGTGTTTGTGTTTCGAAAAGATGAACGACTCGGTAAATACTTAACCAAAGTTTATAAGCTTGATTTATACTTTAAAAGGTTTTGCTTTTCAGGCAGAATTGATATGTTTTATAGCACATATATATATTGATAACAGTGATCACAAAACTGCTATATTTTCATGTAATCTATGAAATTGATCTGTTTTCCACCAAATCGGCTGTTATATATATTTGGACACAAACTTACCCACTGGAAAGAGCCTTAGCCATAGGCTTGAATTGTTTGCGATCAACTCCGTACAGTTGAAATTTTAAACCTGAAGGGTACACACATCACTCATTTTGATTCGACAGAGACAGTTCCTGAAAGTACAGTGTTTCACAATGATTTAGGCAGCGCCTGTACAATGCTCTAAAATCCAAGTTTCAAGCATTATATTTTTTTTCATGCAGCTTATCCGACCCAGTTTTGGAATCCTTCACTGAAGTAAGACTGTTTAGAAACATAATATTATGATGAGCATGTTGGATTGTTGTCCAATATACTTCAGTTTTTCCTCCATCTTTAGCCTTATATCTACACAAGGTTGTGTTTTTAAGGATGCCCAGTCTCATTTAGTTATATATTTTGAAGGATGAGGAAAAGCTGCGTATAATTCATTCAAAGAAGCATAGCCAGATGAAAAGCATGGATCAGAAGGGCGCTGATGCTCACCGAGTTGACTCCACACGAACTTCGATTAGGGCCTTATCTACTAAAATGAGAGTTGCAGTTCAAGTTATTGACAACATAGCAATTACCATAAATAAGCTGATGGTTGAAGAGTTGTGGCCACACATCAATGAGCTGATTCACAGGTAAATTGTAACTCCAGTAAAATTAGTACATTACTCTGTTTTACATTATGCAACTCTCAGGGGTATTACAAGTAAGACTTAGAGAGTACATCACTGTTCAATTTTTCAACGTACCAAAGTTGTAGGAAAAAAGATAAAACAATTAGGTTTGGAGTGACTTGCATTTACAGTAGGAGGCTGTATCTTCCCTAGATACATTTTAACTGATTCATTTATCATAATACTTGAATTTTCAGACTAATTAGATGTAGATATTTCGGAACCTGGTTGGTATTTTGGGAATAAGTTTGCAGTCAACTATAACCAATAGATGGCCTGATAATAGAGATAATTTTGAGTTTGAAGAGAAGACTTGGATTCTCTGAAGCTTCACATGTTCGTTAGTTAAAAGTCCGGATTAGGGAAATCAATCTCATTGGAGAAAATCAAGAAAATTCTTGTGATTAGATGATTCTCGGACCTTGGTTTTTCTTTTTCTTTCATTTCTGAAGTGACAATAAGTTGCTTGGTTTTCTGAAGTTGGAAAGGTGGCTGATTGCAATTAACTTGTTTTAGATTGTGTGGAATGTGGAAGGTAATGCTAGAATGCCATAGCTGTCAGTACCAAAAGGTTATGGAAGCAAAATGTTTGGATATCATTAGTATGAATGAAAATCTTAACGACACTAATCTCGAAGTGGCAATGAAACTAAAGCTTGAGCTTCAAAACTGGATTCTTAGCTTCTCTAGTTGGATTGAAGCTCAGAGGGGCTATGTCAAAGCTTTGAATGGTTGGCTACATAGATGTCTCCTATATGAACCAGAGGAAATAACAGCAGACGGTGTTTCATCCTTCTCTTCTAGTGGATGCGGAGTACCCCCAGCGTTGGTGATGCTTAACCAGTGGTCGGAAGTCATGGATAGAGTGTCGGAGAAAGAGGTGGCTGAAGCTATGCATGGATTTTGGAAGAGCATAAACCAAATACTGGAACACCGTGATTCTAAACTGCAGCAAAGTATTATTGCTGATAAGGATATGGAAAGAAAAATAAAAGATTTGGAAAAAGAGGAGCAAAGAATGCAAGCTCGAGTGAAAAAGATGACACTGTGGGGGAGCAAAGAAAGTGTCGTTGTTCCACCAAGAGATACCAGCGACGCTTCTGCTAGTTTACAGTATGATCTAAAGCAGATTTTCATGACAATGGAAAAGCTTGCTTCTCAGAGCAGCCAAGCTTATGAGGAGCTTCCCCAATGCATTGAAAAGTGCTAGGGCATGGCCCCTCAAGATAACGCCTAATGTCCTTAATTCATTCGACAAGTATTTCATTATGGTTTTCGATAGGGGAGGTAATTATCCATAAGACCCCTGCCGATGACATCTCTCATATACTTATCTATTAAGAATTGTTTGATTGAAAACCTGTTTTAAGCAGCTGATTCTGATTGTTAGCCGACTAATTGCGTTTCCATTGCCGAAAGTCAAGGAACCGAATCGTAAAGTCATGGTCAGTTGGCATTTTCCCCTCAATTTGTCTTCGTCTTTTTTGACCAAGATAAGGTACTGAATTTTGGGGATGAGCATGCAAGATTTGGTTGAAAAAAAAAATTCATCCTTATCATTAGTCCCATTACCAGCTGCATGTTTATCCTTTAAAAAGCTGCTAAAAGAAATGTTTACATTGTTTTATATTTTACTAGTTTCATTCAAATATTTATGCGAAAAATATTTAAATTTTATATTAAAATAATTTTATTTATAAATTTCAATAGTTTAATTTATAATAAAAGTATAATTTAAAACTAATATAAAATGTGATTTAATATTTATTAAATTTTATCAATTATTTTTTTAATTTTTGATACGGTAATACTATTTTTTTTTTATAAAAAGCCGCTAGTTTTATTAAAAATATAAAAATATCCAGAATTACAATGAAGATTTATGAACATAATCGTAAACGTAAACTAAATTATAGTTAGGGCATTTTCCTATAATCTTTAACACAAAAACTAGCCACCTAGATCACACAAGGATCATAAAAGGAAAATATTAAAAAATCTAACCAATGCTCGAGTAAAATAAAGATACGAACAAATCTGTCTGTATCGGTAAAAAAACCACAAAAAGGGATGACACTACTAAAAGACCACCGAAAAATCGCAAATCAGAGTCAAGCAACGGGAGAAAACTATACACGAGCGCAAAACGTGTATCCAAATCAATACGAGGGTCCAAAGCAGGGAAGATCAACAAGATAACAAATATACGATATCTTGATCAGTCGTGGCAATGTCAAATCCAACCCTGTGATAAAAGTTAAACGAAAAAAAGGAAAAAAAACTGTAAGCTACCAAAAGGCAGAAAAAACATGCCAAAAAGACATAGATAAACGTGTCATAAATGCAGAAAACATATCACAAAAACATGATTATTCTTATTAAAAAATAAAGGAAAAAAGATAACTGTCGGGCGGAAACCAGTATCAAAACCGGTGCCACTACTGGTTAAACAAAATTAAAGAAGAAAAAGTTGAATTGATCAATATAATTGACACAAATTGTAAACAAGCAAAAAAAGGGAGAGGAGAAAGAAGAAATCGACTAGGTTTTTTTATAATACTATTTTTTAAACAATGTCAACCGGATTTTATTAATAATAAAAAGAATCAAAATTATAACGCATCAAAATATAGAGAAAATTTTAGAGATGATAATAACCAAAATACTCAAAGTAAAATCTTCAACTTAAAGATACGAAGAAAAATAAAACATTCAATTGAGAATGACGATCAACATCAAAACCCAATAACCTTCATAAAAAACCTCATTGTCTCTATTGAATAAAAGACTTTACGGAGTGATAAAAGAGTAATGAGCGAACCAAATAATCTGACATGCTGCTTTGGTACACAATTTTGATTATATCGGTAAACAACCTTTTACCAAAAGAGGGGATTTGACTATACACGATCATCGACAAACCAATCAGAAAATAAATGTCGAGATGGTTTTTGTGTGATAACCAAAACGACCTCAAAATGTATGCAAAAAACATATAAAAAACCATATGAATCGTGCCATAGTAGCAGAGCAAATGCGTGCCATAATAACAGAGGAAAAATGTGTCACAAGGACAAAGATTCTTATTCAAAATTAAAAAGACTCAAGAAAAAAGAAAAAGAAAATAAAAGACATAATAAGAAAAATAAGAGAACTAATAATCACTGGAGGTCGGCAACCAATATTAAAGTTGGTGTCGTTGTTACCTAAACAAAAATCAAAGAAAAAAAAGAAAACGACTAAAAAATATTTTAAAAATTAGGTTGAAAAAAAGGAGAGGCGTAATACTAATTTTTATATTGATGTGAAATGTATTTAAATATAAGATATTGTGTAATACTAGGCTATTAAAAATACTTATTTTGTAAATTTAATTTTAAAATATAAATCATAAATATTAAAACTAAAGATATATGATGTTATATATTTCATATACATTTTTAAAAGAAAAATGTAAATCTAATATAAATATTATAAAATATCCATCTATTCAGTATTTGCAAATTCCTGTGAATTGTATATTCAATACAAATACTCAATAATTTTTTTTAATAATAAATAAGATTTTAAAATCTAAACAATCCTAGTTTGTGTCCTCAAGGCCCACATATCTTCCTGAAACAAAGTAGCAATAGATAATGGCGGCTCCTGGAAGACGTAACCTACCAGATTGGTGTCATGCTAGCTTTGTTATGCTATCACCCAGCCTGTTTCTCTCTCGAGGAGCATACAAGAAGTTCACATCCCAGGTCCTTCCGACCAGCCGATGAATATAGTAGCATAGCTAGGAGCAAAACCTTCGTCGCGTGTCCCGGGCAAAAGCATCTATGGCTTGTTTATTATACGACTCAACACAAACCGACCTTAATCCCAGGTTCTAGGCAAGAGATAATCCTTCAAAAATCCCCCAAGGCCATCATCAGATTTGTGCGCTCCATCAGTATTAATTTAAACATATTATCCGGACCTTGCCAAAGTAGATAACGAGCCGAGCCACACTTGTGCAGTGTACTTGCGACCCTATCAAATTCGATGCTCAGACAGTAATAGTCCAATTTTTAAGTTGGATGATCTGATCAAGAATACTCTCTTCAAGCGCACAATGTCCTTCGAACAAAAGACGATTCTTCCACTTTCAAAGGCACCACAGAATTAACCTAAACATAATGTCCCAATCAGCAGTCTCTTTAGGAAAATAATCATGTTGACCAATATTCATTTCAACCCAGTTTTGCAACGATAGAGAAAGAAACTCTTGAAGCTTTTCTGGTCTAATTATCCTTCCCCACATAGATTTCGTCGCAGTACAATCTCGGAAGATATGTAAGATTCAACATGCGCTCCACAAATGATACAACTAGTATCCATCGTGTAACCCCTTCAGACTGATGCAGGTGACCCGATCCGATCTAGAGTGTTACATTAGGGCCACCGGAGCAACCCACCGTAAAAATCTCAGAAAAATTAAATTTTTTTATTAAAACATGTAAAGTCATAAAATCATTTATAAATAAAAAAAAGTAAATTTTACTAGTATTCAGAAATAAAACAAATTTCAGACTCATGTGAAATAAATTACAACCTACATGCCCTCTAATCACATGCACCGTACTACGCAAGCAATGTCGGTGGAACTCCCTTACTGAAGTCGATAGCTGCACTGATACAATACTTTTAACCTAAAATGGTGAATAACAGAGTGAGCTTTGGGAAGCTCAGTAATACAATACTACCAGATGATGCAACATGACATGCAGATCAATGGAAAGCCATAAAATTTCCTTATTTAAACAAACATATGCAAGTTTTCGGGATAAGCTTGGATTCCACTAGTAGTTCCTCGAGTAGAAGCCATGAAAATCTCAGTTCATCGGGAACATTCATAGTATCAAGTTTTCAGGAGATCGAATAGGATGTCTAGTGTGTTCCAACCAAAACTAGTTAGAAGATATAAATATTTTTAAAACAAAAATTGTTTATAACATATTTTCAAAACCATAGTAGAACCTCCAACCGAACACCAATATGCAGTTCCCCATAACTGCATTCATAAGGGCTTACCCTAAGCACATAGTAAAGTGAGCCAACCTAAGGCAATGCCTTGGGGCCTATAGGCCTACCCAAGGGTATCCTTAGGTCCGTAAGGATTTACCAGCTGGATCAGGGCTGTACCTCCATACTCCATAATCCTATCCATATAAAAATCCAGTAGAAATCACTTTTAACCGTATATCGTAATATCTGGATCGTGATCCAATCATATGTCATAACCGTGATAATGAAATAAACTGTATAACTGATCCCCACTTGTACACCATAAGTAATCCCATGATTAACCCAAGGGAGTGCCTTGGGGTCTGAGAGCCTACCCAAGGATTACCTTAGGTCCGTAAGGATTTATCAGCTTGATCAGAGCTGTACCTCTATACTCTAGTCTACCCAGATAATATCCTAATAAAACAATTCGAGTATAATCCGTGAAAACAGGAAACCATGGTTCAGAAACCAGTAAATTTCATGATTCCATAAATCAGGAACAATTCATATCTTTCAGTGAAAACAGGTAACCAGAGAACATATACCATGTAGTCATAGTTCATAAGCCAGTAAATCATTAAATTAGTGATTTTTCGAAATCACGTTTTAAAACAAGTAAAACATTTACATGTCACATAGAACACACTAGAGAATCCAATAATTTTTCAGAGGTACTTGATAGTTTATCAGCAACGGAAAACATGAAACTGATGTAATTTGATCAGATTACATTAACAAGGTCATATTGATAGTGATTGATTACTAATGGTTCTAATCAGACATTTAGAGTTGATACTTTACAATCCCGCTATGATTCAGGTGCATTAGGAAGGTGTTCAAGAACCTTTTATACAAAATAACTCTAGATTCAGATTTACTGAGAGTAATTCCATTACTCAACAATCAAAGGTATTCAAAATTACGAATTGAATTATCAGGATTTTAAGTCAAAATGAACCAAATGGGGTATTCAAGATCCTTTGCATCTGAGTTACTTGTGTGATCAGTTATGACCGGAGTGATTTGGGCTAATAAGAGAGAAGTGAAGGTTCATGACATTTACAATCTGTTTCGATCTATAGGATTATCGAAATAACTCGAGTTGAACAACTCCCAGAACTAATGCACTTCGACTAGTCAATTCATTGCCCTTCCAGGATAATCCCCCTTTAATACCAGAAAATTCTTATCCATAGTTCATCTTCAGGATCATCACTGAATATATCTTAAGGAGATGAACAAATATTCCAATGGTTTTTACTTCATTCCCACACTACAACACTATCAAGAAAGGCTGACATACTTGATTCGGGGTTTACAACCCATGGGGACAGTATATCATGTGAGCTTATCAGTGTTTCCAGACCTATCCAAGTCACTCACCTAGTCCTAAGTCATTGAGGTTACTTAGATCATTTAGTATTTGAAGTTGATTTATTCTTTTCAGAGCTGAAAGTATTATTTATTATAGGGCTTAGACGTTCCTTGAGTCATTTTACACTTTAGGGCATTTTGGTCATTTTACCTTTTAAGCATATCATCATAATCCCGCTCAATTCTGTCAGTGGCATACTTTCGATACATTAGGCTTGAATGCAATCTAGTTCCTTTAGCGTTCAGGGTATTTTGATCATTGATGGTTATTATTATAGTTATTACGAAGCTCGAGAACATTTCAGCAATTCCTTTAAATTCAATCATTTGCAGTTTCTAAGATAATTAGTCAAATATGTCATTTCAGAGTTTTCTTCCACCATCCAAAGAAGTCTTGGTCATTTTTCCATTACAAGGATATTTTTGTAATTTTATCTCATGGTGTTCTTTTCGGTAATTTCATATCCAGTTAGACCCGATATTTAACCTTTTAAGAGAATTTAACAAACTTCATGTATCTTGAAGCCGATTCATTTATTATTGGATCACTGAACTTATAATTATTTTCGATTGATCTTCCAATTTCTCTTTATCGAGCCGTCTGAGTCTTATACTGTTTTCTGTCCTTATTCCAAATTTACGTATGAGTCCACTGATAATTAAATACATCTAATGTATCAATTAATTCTATTCATGCAATTACCATCCATCAATGAGTTCGAGAAGCATACAAAAGGTAGTAGAGTATTACCTCGATTTTCGTGCCATACCGATCGACCATTTAAACTCCATTCGATTTCCCTCGAAATTGAATTCAACGTTCCATAATTCCTCGGATACAAAGCAATCGAATTTACGTCAGAAACTGAACTGAATTGAAAAAACTTGAATCCGAGATAAAACATGGAAAAACGGCTTACAGGGTGCGAATTTGGAAAAACAGACTTTGAAATCGAATTCAGGACGTCGAAAAATATAAAATAGGGATTTTTAAAAAATTTAACTTTTTTGGTCAAAGTCAACGGGTTGACTCGGATGAGTTGACTCAGACCGAGTTGACTCGAAAGGGTTGACTCAGTGACTGGATCGGGCAGGCAGGTCAAGTCGGGCAGGTGGGTCAGGTCGAGTCGACCCAATTCCAGAAATCTCCTTGGAGCGTGGACAAGCCCCACGTGCACTGTCGGCGCGTAGAGGCGCTTGACACCGATAACGAGGTCAATTTGCCCGGCCGATTACTCCCTGCTCAACTATACACCTCAATTATTCGAAACCAAATCAAAATTCCAACCAAATGCAAGCCAAAATCACTTAAATTAAATCTCAAACACTCACCTATATGGCGGTCAGCGATGACGCGCCGTCGAGGAGCAAACCCGACTGGGTTTTGACCAGAATTTTTGAGGGGAAGATGTTGGTGGTAGCGATGAGGTGAGATCGTCGCCGGATTGGTTGGAATCGACTATGTTTTATGGCGAAAAGAGTGGTTTTTGTCAAAATTTTCCGTCCAAAATTACGGCAAACGACGTCGTTATCCGGTGCAAGGGGGCTCGGGTTTTGGTCGCCGGTTGGTGGGGTGTTGATTGGTGTCATTGGAGAGCTCCAATGGTGGCCGGATGGCTACATAATTGGTCGGTAAATAGGGTCAATAGGGAAGTTAATTTTGGGGGTAAATTTGGGGGGGGGGGAACTAGACTGATTGGGAAAGGAGATTATAAATTCACTTAAAAATGACTACCAATTTCAGAAATTTATAATTTGACCCTTAAATTAAGGTGTTACACATCGTCATGTGTCTACGTCATCTCTCTTCATTTGATAATAACTTATAAAGGAGTCGTATAAGCAATTTAATCCGTGGAAGTCTTCGATAAGACTTAAGAGGTGACCACGAAGAGGATTGGGCAGTATACCCAATCTCGCAACGATGCCTAGTATAGGCGCTCTTCGCCGTGAAACAATTATGCGAATCCCATTTCCAAATTGGCATGTCGATGCCCCCATCCTCAGCCGGAGCCTTTATTGCAGCAATGTGATAAAGAACCGTGCACGGAAGAAGAGATTCTAATAAATTCCACCTCCATTCCATGTTTTCCGCCAAGTCACGAACACAGAAGATTGTTTGCCACCACTTCAGGGTCGCTGCACTAGTCTTTTAGCGCACCCAATTCCGCTATCTAAATATCGTTCCAAAAATCTACAATCGAACCATCCCTTAAACTCCAAATTAGTCCTGCCCTTACATCATTCCAAACCAAAGTCAAACTCAACCAGTCTCGAACTGCCTGAGCGAGTAATAGAATTTGGCACGATATCCATAATCTTGTACTTGAATTTTAAAACACGAGCTGTGATGTCTCTCTAAAATAAGATGGAAGGCAATTTTCATAAGAAAAGCTATTTTTTAGCCCTAAGCCACCATTTGTAATCGGCTCGCACATCCCTTCCCAACGGACAAGGTGCACATTCCGTTTCTCATCGGAACCACCCCAGATAAATCTTTAGATAAACCGTTCGATCTCCTTACAAACACTTTTAGGAAGGTAACATGTTTGCATGGCATATGATGGTAAAGCTGAAAGAACAGACATTGCTAAAGTCACTTGCCCTACAAAAGAAAAATGTCGTGTTTGTCAACCTGAGAGTCTATCATGAACTTTCTGAACAATATATTGATATGTTGATTTAGTGACCCGTTATGCAACAATGAGACTTCTAAATACTTACCAAGGTGCTCAACACAAGTGTACTGAAAACCATTACTAACATCAATTTTTACATGTTTAGGGACATTCTTCGAAAAACATATAGTCGTTTTGGCGGTAGTAAACTGGAGGCCCGACCTATGGCAGAAATTCTAAAAAACCCGTAGAATTATGCCAAGTTGCTCCAAAGTTGCTTCGGCAAAAAACAACAAATCATCCGCAAAGAAAAGATGTGCTAGTTGTGGTCAATTCCGAGAGAGTAGAATTGGTCTCCAATCGTTAGACATCGCCTTACTCTGAATTGCCTCTGATAAACTCTCCATACAAATAATGAAAAGATATAGAGATAAAGGATCTCTTTGCCGAATGCCACGTGAAGGTTTGAAAGCTTCCGTTTTCCCACCATTCCACAATATTTGAGTTGTTATTGTTGTGACACTACTCATGGTTAGTTTTCGTAGGTCACTAGGAATGCCAATATCCATAAGAGTATCTTCAGTAAAACTCCATTCAAGGCGATCATATGCCTTATCGAGATCAGCCTTGACTACCATTCACACTCTCCATCCTTTCTTTCACTTCATCGAGTGAATGACTTCCTGAGCAATGATTATATTATCCGAGATGCTACAGCCAGGAACGAAACTTGTTCGACTTTTAGAGACCCAGTCAGGAAGGAAATGTTTCAAAATCACCTTTTATATAGTCTTAAAAAGAATAGTGCACAGATTAATCGATCTGAATTGAGAGAGATTTTCTGGTGAGCTAAATTTTGGGACGAGTACAAGCAGTGTACAATTAATTTCCTCCGGAATCTTTCCTTCCACAAAGCAACTACGAACAAACTGATAGACTGAGCACCCAATAATATCCCAATTTTTTTTATAGAAGAAAGCGTGTAACCCATCATAACCCGAAGCTTTTGAAGGATTCATAGCGGACACAGTCTTTTTAACTTCTTCCATAACCACTTCTTGCGGCAACACTTGAATATTCTCCAAATTCAGAGGGAAATAACCCCACACGTGATAGGTATAATCCCATCACTTGTACTAGAGAACAACTTTGTGAAAAAATCAACAGCCACACGACGTAACACAACCTGATCAGAGCACCAATCTCCATTTACAAGGCGTAACGAATAAATAGTATTCACCCGACGTCAATGCTTAGCAAAAGCATGGTAGAACTTAGTGTTCCAGTTACTGTGCAGGAACTAATTACATCTGGACTTCTGAAACCACAAACTCTCCTCATAATGAAGAACACTTTCGAGCTCAATTTTCAGGCGATTCTCGAGATTGATTAGAGATGCAGACTCACGTTGGGCTAATACACTATCAATCCCTTGAATTCTCGCAATCAACTGATTTTTTCGCTTGCCAATTTTGCCAAATTCATTCCTATTCCAATCCAAAAGTCTCGCCTGAATGTGTTTTATATTATCCACGATTGAATTCACAGATGACCACCAATCATGAATCATAGTTTTAAACGTACGATGGTTCTGCCAAGCAAAGACGAATCGAAAAGGAGTAGCGCCGTGCATATGATCCTATGGACAAAGCTGTAGAAGAACCTGTCTATGATCGAAACCAATTCTCACAATATGGGAAGCAAAAGAGTTTAGAAACTGAGTCAACCAAGCATCATTAGCTAAGAACCTGTCAATCCTTTGGCGAAGGTAACTACGCACCCAAATAAACCAAGGCCCATCAAAGCGGATATCTACAAGCGCCTGATCAATGACAAAATTGTTAAAATCCTGGTTGATTCCCATTCTACTTACGACACCACCTGATCTATCCTCAGTACGAAGAATAGCATTAAAGTCACCACCAACTAACCAAGGCACACTATCACCCGGGTTGAGCATTCTCAATTTATCCCGAATAGACTTCCTAATGTTTGCATTTGGGCTAGCATACACGAAAGTGATATAGATTACCCTATGAATTTGATCGAACTGCACAATAGTATGAATATACTGATTCGAAATACGAATAACCTAAACATTAATAGGTTGCTGCCAAAGAAGCCAAATTCCCCCAAAAACCTTGAGCCTCAACACAGAAAGAATTTGTAAAACCAAACTTTTTAATAACCCCATTAGCTCGACTTCCACTGATCCGAGGCTCCATAAGAGTCACAAGAGGAGGGCTGTGGGCTTTCTCAAACATATTAAAACAATGATTAAAACCATAGCTACCAGCACCCTGAAAGTTCCATATCATGCAATTAAACATAAAGAAAAATCAAGAGCGACTTACCCTAACCATGGGACTCTCATCATGTTGTAGAATAATCGGCGATTAACTTTCTGTAATGATCAAATCAATTAGATTGGACGTCGACTGAACCCATTCGAAAAGTAAAGGTCTCGCCGTAGTTTTGTAATTCTGAAGTTTTTTTTTTTTTTTTTTTTTAATTTTCAAAGCTTCCACCCCCCCCCCCATCCCCTACTCCTGTCAATCTTGATCGGTCTACTTCTTTCCTTAATCGAAGCTCTATGCTGCCTTGCTGCATCCAAACCCAGAGTTTTAATAGCGATCACCGCTGTCTAGTTTGGATTAATCTACACAGGTTAAATCGTTACTAGTGAGTCGATTAGAATCGTTGAATCGTTTGAATCGGACCGGTTGAAAATCGAAAAAAATTAAAAAAACCGAAAAAAATCGTCAATTTTTTTTTAAATTAAACCAAACGACGTCGTTTGTTAAACGAGCCAAATCAAACTCGAGTATTGCTGAGTTCGACTCGAACTTGAAAACTTTAAAAGTAAGCTTAATTCGACTCAAACTCACGAGCTAAAAATTATCAAATTCAACTTGTCAACACACATTTTTCGTCCTACTATATTCAAACTCCTAAAAATAGGATAGAATTTTAGGATTCAAACTCCTAAAAATAGGATAAAATTTTGCTAGGATTCAAACTCCTAAAAATATGATGATAGAGTTCTACTATTATTTAAATTCCTAAAGATAGGATCCACAAGCACTATAAATAGCCATTGTAACTCACCATTGTAAGACACGATTTACACACAAAACATAGAGGAAAGAACGAGAAGATACAAAGGCAAAACTATTGTAAAGGATTCGAAAAGGAAATAAAAGGTAGCATTTTCTTTTTTCTTTCTTTTGCATGTGCATGTTATTTTTCTTGAGATTTGGTTCGAATAACCCAAAACGTGGGTTGTGCCGATGACCAAAATGGGTGGGGTTTCGAAGTTTCGAACCTAGATCTACCCCGAGGCTTATTTTAAAAACCGGTTTGATTTTCGGTTAAAGGAGGGGAAGAGCTTTTTAAAAATCTATATTAGTCTCTTTATTTATTATATGGATATTTTATTCATTTATTTTTATTATTCATGTTATTATTATTATATGTATATATATATATTAAATTATTTTCATTTGATTTTTACTATATTTTATTATTATTATATATATATTTCTTTAATATTTTACTTATAAGTCTAATATTACTATATATATATTGTAATTATCTTTATCTAGTCGTATATATCTTATACTTTTAATAGTTTATTTATATACATATTATTAAATATATATATTCTTAATTATTTTTATTTGATTATTTATTTGTTTATGTAATATATCTTATAATTTTATATTATTATTATTTTTTATTATTTTCGTTTTTTTATTCATTATTATTATATTATTATTTTTAAAAAAAAAACCTTGTGTCTTTATTATTATTATTAAACATTATATTATATACTACTAACTAGAGGGTCCATTTTTTGTCTTATTTCTTACTAAAGCCCCCACTTTCGGTGAATTGAGAGGGTATCTTTTCTATTTTTAAGTATTTGGTGTACATATAGCTTATTATATAGCTTATATATTTATATATATATATATATATATATATATATATATATATATATATATATATATATATATATCCTTTTTACAATATTACTATATACAATTATTACTTTACTATTTTTTTTTATCTTACTTATTTATTTTATTTTTCCCTTGTATCTTATTTGTTTTCTTTACCTTGTTTATCTAACACATTTCTCGATTTTTTTTCAAATCAATCAAGGGTAAGTAATTAGGATCGAAACTTTACCTTTTAATTTAACTTGTCATTTTTCTTAATTAAGACAACTGGAAATTACGTAGTACCGAAAGGGCGGTTCAAGGGTGCTAATCCTTCCTTGACCGTAACCGACTCCCGAGCCCGACATATTTCTCGTAAGACGCAGATCAGGTAAGAAATAGGGTATCCGATCAACCCATTTATTTTTAAATAAATGATCGGTGGCGACTCCAATCCACATTTTTCAAGTCGAAGCCCAATTCTGGGGCCCAACCGAAAGACGGTTGCGACAGCTTGGCGACTCCGCTGGGGACACAGGTAAGTGAGTCAGGCTAAGGTAATTTCCAGTTGTCTTTTTAACGAAAAGGGTAAGTTTAAATTTTAAGGTAACCTTTCGATCCTTATTGCTTACTTTTGATTATATTTTTTTCGAGTAAATAGTTGTACTAACCGTTTTCTCAATGATTTCAGCCCTTAAAGTCTTTTTTCATCTAAAGTTCTAAACCCGAGCTCTGAACCCATTTTAAATGGGGGTGAAAGCGACGCATTCGTGTGAATTTATTCACCGCATATGCCTAGCAAGTAGCCTTCGGGATTCATATACCTTATGTCTTCGTGTGAATTTATTCTCCGCATATACATAAGAGAATGTGCCCTCTCGAGTTTAACTTAGTCCACACAAGCTTGTAATAGGCTTAGGACTAAGGGTCTGGCAAGCCCAAGGGGCACCAGCAATGAGAACTCGGGTACCATTTTTTTAGAACCTAAACCGGAAGACGATGGAGAATTAGAGCCCACCCCAAAACCTCATTCCAAACCTTAGGCTGCTTTGATTTTATTTCATGCCTTACTTTCTGTTCAAAGCATGCGAACTAGACAAATATGCGGTTAGGATTTGTTTGAGATTAGTATGCGGGATAGAGATCATGTCCGGGTAGGAATAATAAGCATGTGGGGTAGATATCATGTGGGGTAGGACTTTCATTTTTATGATCTTTTTTTATTATTTTTTTCACCTCACTAACTCTTTTCATCTTTATTTTATTTTATTTTATTTTATTTTATTTTATTTTCATCACTTGCATCATAAAAGAGGTCATTGATCCACTAAAACGTGTTTGTTAAAACTCGAATAATCTGAATCCATGGACAAAGGTGTTGTAATACAAGAGATTAAAAACCCCGAGGTACGACTATGGTCCGAGAAGACTCAGAAGAAAAATGGAGATAGTCTTCAAGGAAGCTATGTGTTAGAGCTAGTTAGCTACGCCTCTATCAGTTTAAAACAGAATAATGTGCAAGAACTTCGAGACATCTGAGATAGTTGGAAGAATGATCGGAAACAGAAGTTCAATCAGCGGTATGATGACATTGCACTTTTACTTCATGTTAAGACCAATGAGCCCTTAATCAGAGTCTTGGTTCAATTTTGGAACCTGGGATACAGTTGCTTCACTTTTAACCAGGAGGACATGGTACCTACCATCGAGGAGTATACTACACTATTGCACTGTGAAAGCATTAAACTGGAGCGAGCCTACATCAAACACATCAAGAGTCAGCCTTTCAAGAACGGACTGGCTAAGATTGCAGGAGTTGATGAAAAATGGGTGACTGACCGACTCCGAAACAAAGGTAACGGGCAAGACTATAGACCTTTTTGCACTAGGTCTGTATGGCTTGATCATCTTTCCGAAGGTTTTGGGATGCATTGACGCAGCCGTGGTGGAACTGTTTGAGCAACTTCCGAAACGAGTCAACCCAGCACCGACCATCTCAGCCGAGACCTTTTGGTCTCTCAACCATTGCCGAAGAGCTGGCGGAGGTAGATTCATTGGATGTGTTCAGTTCATTCAAGTCTGGATTCACATCCACTTCTAGAAGACTAATGGGGTTGCCTACTGTAGATTTAACACTACGTATTCACCTTTGAGAGAGTTCATCACCATGACAGGATATGAAGGCGCTTCAAAAGAGAAATGGATGAAAGTCTTCACTCATCTACAGGACCGGGATATTACCTGGAGAGCCCCCTGGTTGTTCCTCAGTGATGTTCTTTTCAAGTGTGGGAATTCTGACACTATGACCCTATTTGGACTTTGAGGTGCAGTTGGGTATGCTCCATTGTTGGCACTTAGACAGTATGGGGCACATCAGTTTGTCCCAGTAACATATGGATTATCTATATCAGAGTTTATGTATCACGGTGACAGTTATAAGAAGATGATCAAAGAAGCAGTCGAGTCATGGAAGAAAGTATCTCGGATGGATGTCTAGAAGATTTAGTCCGAACATACCTTTTATTGTTTTTATGTCTCTTACAAGATAAAACATTTTTGTCTGAATAAGGATTATTTATGATAATGGACACTTTTCTAGATCAATGCCTCGAACATTTCATGCATTCTTACATTTTGCATTTTTGCCTTTTTGCATTTTCATCTACATTTTAAGCATTTTCACAAACATGAAATTAAGTCGTGAAGGGCTCGATGAAGCGAATTTAACCACATGGAAGCAAGATTGTAACAGTAGGAGCCTGATCAGCTGATTGTAGGACAAAGCTTGCCAGGATGATCTAAGAAAAGAATCCCCATATCCTAAGGGCCACGATGTTGAAGCTGCTAGCTGTTACCACGTAAGAAGCCCCAAATATTCCTCTGAAACCTGTAAGGCGCTTGCCGAAGAAGGGGGCATGGCATATACCATTTGCACTTAGAGGATTGTTTTGTTTGAACATGTCTTTGATCTTTCGCTTAATCTGTTAAATGATTGAATTTATGCTACTTTCTAAGGTGGAGCAATTGAACAAATTTTAATCTTTAGTTCTTCGAATATTAAATGAATTAAGGATTCTTTTAATTCTTCAAGAATTATAGATTTTTGACATATGACAAGATTAGACCTTTCTTATCCTGTCTCAAACCCCCAAAATGAAATACCTTGATCAAAAAGACCAAATTTTGACATTACCTCCCTTTGAAATTCTTGAACATTGCCTTTACCTTTATGATACACCCATACCTTTCTTTGAGTCAATAAGATCACACCACTATCTTTTTAGACTCAAAGTTAACCTTTTTTTTTACCATTAAAACCCAAGACATTGAGTTGTTCATTTGAACAGGAGTATTCTTCTAAATTGAGGCATCTCGCCGGGAGCCTAAACATTGAGACATGTTGGGAGCAAGGAGCAACA